ATTTGATGTTCTAGGGTTTCAGGATTGTTGATTCTCTGTTTGGCTTAGTTTTTCGGATCTTTGTTGTGGAGGGACGGCGTGGTGCTTCTGCCTAGACCGCCATCTTGCCGGAGTCTCTCCACTTTTGCAGATTTTTGCCGAACTCTTGTATCTGTAGCCAACCTATGGTTGCAATTTGACCAAGATTTTACAAATGGAGTTGCATCCCAATCTGCTCTTTCCCCAGTAAGTTTACTGTCATTAAATCTGATATGTGACCTACTGTTAAACTATTTCTTACCCTTGTACAAATTATGTTCATTAAATTGAAACCTCTTTCAGCTTCAGCACTATCGATTGCAATAGTGCTAACTATCTTTTTAGCTTTTTGTATAGTTTCAGGAATTGAAACATTATTTGATTTTATATTATTATTTACAAATTCCCAAAAATCATTCAAATCTACTTTGTATTTTAAAATTTCACATAAACGAAATAACTTTTTTTCACCAGCTGTCCAGAGTGAAGTTATTTCTTCATAAGGCCAAGCAGATGGTTCTAATAAATCAAAATAGTTAAAAATGCTTTCATCGTGGTTTCTGTCTGATAAAAGACGTAAGTTCATGTGTTGAATTATATTTTCCAGGAGCATATTCCTAGGAAGAGTGTTAAATTTATTACTTTTATTAAATGGAATGTCTTTAAACTTGTCTGACTTAATTAAATCTTTGATTTGAGATTCATGCTTTCCAACACCAATCTTTAAATTTTCCAAAGCTCGTATGGTGCGTTTGTTTTGTGCTTTCTGAATGTTCGTTGATCTTGACCGCAATGTAGTTGAAAGTACTGAAAATTCTTCAAGAATGTCAATCATTAAAGCAAGGTCTTGCAAAAAATTAATGTTAGCTAATCTCTTGGCCAAACCAGAATAGGAACGAGAATAATGCATATACAGTACAGGATATGCATGCCACACTGCAGTAGCAACTTGTAAACTGCATGCTGCCCATCTTGGTCCCATTACCCGACCGATTTTAATAATTTCTATTTCAAGTTCTTTAGCTACAGTTTCTAAAAGCCTGTTTTTACTTTTATTAGATTGGTGATAAATAGCATAAATTTTGTCCAGAAATATTTTAAAATGATTAACTTGTTTTATTTCAGATATTGAATCATCTAGCGACAATTGCAAGCGATGATTTAAACAGTTCCAAATGATGATTTCGGGAAAATTTTCTAACAGCTTTGTAGCTACTCCAGACTTTCTTCCCGGCATTGTATTAGCACCATCAGAACAAAATGCAATTAAATTGCTTTCAAATATTCATTATTAAAGCCACAATCATTTAAAGCAGTCAATAGTGTACTGAAAATACACTCTGCCGTGGTTGACACCCATTCTTTTAAAGCAACAAATAACTGGTGCAGGAGCTGACTGAACTGTGCACTGGAGATAAATCACTAAGGTGCTTTTCTTTGAAACCGTAGATGCTTCATCAATTAGGATACAAATTTTGGCATTCTCTTCTATAATATTCTTAAATATCTTCATCTTCATTTCTTTTGCAAGATGTTCTGCTATTCTTGTTGCACTATATCGTGTATTTAAACAATTGACCTCTCCATTTTTTTCTTGTAATTCTATTGCCCACTCAATATCAGATAAAGGTCTATTATGTTTTACTAAACTGTAAACTGTATTGAAAACTTTTACAGTAGCATCAATATTTTTATTATTTTGTTTATGTGCTAAGTTGGAAACTGAGTCATTAACTGATTCCTTTAACAAATCCTGAATTTTACCATGGGCTTTAGAAATATCGTGTTCCCTAATTTTTTTTTCAGAGATGCCTGCCTAGTAGTTTTATTACTACCATTAGGGGTTACTAAATATGCAATCCATTCCTTAGACACATGGACATGTTTTTCTGCTTTTGATCCCAAATGACGAACTGCTGAACAATCCTTACATCCTAATTTACCTTCTTTTATTTCAAGCCATTTGTACTGTTCTGTAAACATAAACGCTTGTTTTTCATTCCAACAATCTGGAAGCACAAGATTATCTATTTCTTCCTTTGATGAACATGATGGCTTTTCTTCAATTATTGGTTGTTCAACATATTTGAAATTTGGTTCCTTTGACTTAGACGATCCACAATGATTTTTGTTCCTATCATTACTTTCTGTGTCTGTTTTCACCTTCTTCACATTTAAAAAACTTAATAAATCACCCTGTCGTTTTGGCATTTTAGGAAACAGAATCTGAAAAATAATTTTACATTATGTAAGTAAAATTCATGATAACACTTAAGGGCTAATGTAAAATGTTATTAATGATTTCTTTATATAATTTTAAAAATGACAAATTTTAAACTAAAATAGCTTGCTTTGCAGTTTCTACCTATAACTTCAACGTAACTTGCTATTTCTTAAAAAACCCAGTATCAGTGTTTTTAAATTTGATAGCCAACAACAGTGTCACAAAAATCTATCAATAAATGTTTATTATCCAATTCAGCAAAGAAATTGCTCATATTTCTGAACGAGTGTAGTTCCAACATGAATGTTGGCATTTACATTTACATTTCATTTGCATCTTACTCAACTCAAGATGAAAGTGGAACAATGAAGACATATATCGGAACTTTATTCGTTTATCAATGATGACAGCAACTTCTTTGCTCAATCAATGAACAGTTTTTGAATACTAGAAGAATATTTCCTCAATTTATGGTATAGCACACAGTGTATAGTTAGAGGCACATCTAACTTTTTATTAACATTAAATTTTATTAACATTAAAATTTAAGTTTAATCTGTAATAACATTTTATCCATGACTTTCTTAAGTCTAGACAATCAAATAATAAATCAACTCGTAATGTATGTTTGCCATTACCATGGTGTAAATGCTCCCATTATACTCCCACCATGATACAGTATCTCTACCATACAGATATATGTAAATAACTTCAAGTGCATAGGTATTAGGAAGTGATGAGTTTTGAGTATTTATTTCCTTAAATGTTATGATAACTTATTTACTTGTAAATTTACATATTTTAGTTTTTAATAGTGGCTATGTTTAACAAACAACTTGCAAAATTCCTAAAAAACTAAAAATCAGTTCTCAGGAGCCAGTTTAAGCCACCTCCAGCACGCTATTACACTTAAATGATAGAACTGAAAAAACATAAATAAAATGTACTTGCATCACTATGATAGGTGCTAGGCTCTTCATTATCACCACAGACCAGATCAATGTATTCAATAACAGGTCGCGATGGTCCTTCCTAAAAAGGAATTGAGCAAGTTATTAAAACTATTCAAGCTAAACTTGCATTTACAATCAGTGTTGTTTTTGTTGGGATTGGCAAGGGTTCTTCTGAGGAGAGAAGTATTACAGGTGGCACACAATAATCAGAAACAAAAGAAACACCACAAAAGATTCAGAATATATGAATATGTAATGAGGATAAAAGAGATGGGGAGCTAAATCTATATAGAAAAATAAAGCCATGTGGGTTCCTTTGGGAATGGGAAAATAATACAGTAATAGTTTTAAAAAGATAAATATTATTGGACAATGTTTTTTAACTGGGATGGGTATCAACATCTCTTAGATATCTGAGCTCAAAATCATAAAGGTTTTAGATAGCTCTGCTTCATCCTCCACATCTGTATACAGCGAAACATCAAACTTTGAATCTTCTGGATCCCTTCTTTACATCCATATTACCTTCATCATAGACTAGGCTCTGAATACTGAGCTCCAAGGCCTAGATTTTACACTATAGGCAATGGAATGAAAAAATAATGTTGAGATCGAAACAACATTATCAGAGCTATGTTTCAAGATTAATCATATAGAGGAGTCTGGAGTGTAGAAGACAAGAAACAAGAAAGGCAAATGGTAATGTAGTACTGAAATACAGTGATAGCAAAGAGAACAATGAGGAAATACAGTTCTCTGTATACATATTATATTTCAATAAAATCTATATTAAGTGCTCTTTTTGCACCTCAAATCTGTATCACTTTTCTTTCAGCATATTGTGTTTAGTTTGAGGCTATGCATATGGTAGAACAGAGATGATGCATGTCACAATGCAAACTGAAGGCCAGAAAATAAAATTTATATGAAGACTTGAAGAATCCAGAATAAACCAAGAAGTAACATACTAATATTATTATCAAGCACAGAATAGTAACCAGCAGCACTTCATCTTTACTAGACAGTATTACAAAAAATGCAGAGAAATAAGCATTTCCTGGCAGTCAAGCATAGTTGTAGATTCTATCTATATTTCAAAATAGAATTAAAACTATCATTGTCTTGTATGTAACACCATTTTAAGGCAATGTTTTTACCAGGTTCCTTCTAGTATTGCAATTGCACTTGGAGAATATAATTCACTTCCCCATATGGAGCTGTCAAACCTTTGATCCTCTATTTGGAAACAGGGCAAAATGTAAGACGTTGTATCAAGCTGGATATACAGAACTCTGGATGCAAAGATGCAACAGATTTTTGTATATTTAAAATAAAATTTAGAGTATTTTTAAACCCCAGCTGAACACAAACATGTATTAGTCTAATCAGAATTTACAACATAATTCTAGATTCTTTACGGTCCTATGCAAACTTTGATACATTAATTTTTCCGCCTCAATTTTGTAGATTCCTTCTGTGTTTTTCCAAGAAAGACCCATACAGCATAAAAACAATGTATGTTACTCTTTAGTTACGGTTGCACAAAACACCATCCAGATCACACTATCCTGTTAATTCATGCCTTTATACCACAGTTCTGGAGGAACACAATTTTTTCTTCAAGAGTCATAGAATCCTGTTTCCAAATGTTTTTCAGTACAAAAACAGAAACCATAGCTCTTCAATTTGCCCAGCTACATCACTTACTCATCACCACAGTGGAGGCAAGCTCAGCATACATCTCTTGATACTCCCAAATTTATAAAGGTTCCAAGTGTCAAGAATAGAGTACCAGATGCACTATTAATGGGGAAGAATGACAAGAAAATAATCTTGTAAAGAATTTGTACACAAACCTACTAAAAAAAAACAGTAATGTGAACATCACAATGGCCATAATACTTGGAGAGAGGATTTTGTTTGATTTTAAAAACAAGTTATTGAGGTAGTCACCTTACATCTACACCAACAAAAAAATACCCAAACACTGATAGGCACTTAATTTTTTTTTAGTTTAATATCAAACCTCAACCAACTACAGCATAAATAGAGTGGTTTGGGCAGTAGTGTTCTCTAGCTAGTTGAGATACCACTTTTAGCAGACTCTTTCTAAAATTTAATATTTTTGGATAAAAATGATCTCAAAATATATCAAACTCCCCCCCTTTAGCTTTCCAAACCAATGATTCGTACAATGTGGTTCAGAGATCCATACACAACTGTGTTTGTTCCAAAATGAAGATTCCTAGGCCCTACCATGAAATTTGATCTAGCAGGTCTGGAGTGAAGCCCAGAAACGTGCACGTTTGCACATACTAATGCTTGAAATTTGCTTTGAATTGTGGTGTTGGCAAAGAACATTGAAACACCATGGACTGCCAAAAGAACAAACAAATCTATCTTGGAAGAAGTACAGCCAGAAAGCTCATTATAAGCGAGGATGGTGAGACTTTATCTCACATACTTTTGACATGTTATCAGGAGGGATCAGTCCCTGGAGAAGGACATCATGCTTGGTAAAGTCCAGGGTCAGCGAAAAAGAGGAAGACCCTCAACGGGATGGACTGACACATGGCTCCAACAATGGGCTCGATCATGACGACGATTCTGACAATGGCACAGGACGGGGCAATGTTTCATTCTGTTGTACATGGGGTTGTTATGAGTTGGAATCGACTTGATGCACCTAACAACAACGCTTGAAAACTACTCTCACAAAGGGAATAAACACAGAAAAATACAGCATGCTCCTGATGACCCAGGGATCCTCATTATGAACATCAAATGTACTATGCTGTAACATGATGATCTCAAAGATTAGTGAAGTCTTTAAGCTACTGCCCTCATGTTATGCCTTAGCAACACAGTGCTAAGCTTTTGAGTTCTTGCAACCTTTTTCCTACCTCCTTCATCATTAGCTGTCCCTTCTCCATAAGGGACACCTCCTTCTCCGTGTGACCTCTTTTAGAAAATATTCTTTTCCATTCCAAAAAGAGATCAGACTTTTGTCTAAATTAAGAGTAAAACAGGTCTAAACGAAGGTAGGAGAGGCGTGATTAAGTATACAACATGTACTTCAGGCCACGGTCTTTGTGTGCTGTTGCTCAGAAACCTCTGGTAAATTTCCTAATCCTCTGCCATGCTCCACGGTGTTAATAAACAAAAAACCAAACCCGTTGCCATCAAGTTAATACGTATTACTGAAAACCCATTGCCGTCCAGTCGATTCCGACTCATCGAGAGACCCTACAGGACAGACTAGAACTGTCTCATAGGGTTTCCGAGGAGCAGCTGCTGGAATCGAACTGCCGATCTTCATGGTTAGCAGACGAGCTCTTAACCCAGGAGGGTTTCTTAGACAGTCATAAATACTAGTTGAATGGTGAGTGAACGGGCGAGGGATAAGTACATAAAGGCTTACCATAGCTTTTTATTCCGGGGAAAAAACCGAGTATCACCGCTACTTACACTAACAAACTGAGTATCATCTTCATTTTCATCCGCTGTTGACTCTGATGCCTCAGGCTCAGCTGGAAGGACAGATTCTATTATCTATAAAAATAAGCCAAAACATGCTTATCTTTACAGCCACATACTTGCAGATCTTCCTGAAAGGTACACTTAAAACACACAGCTTTTGAGCAAACTAACTCAGCACAACTCCCGCAAATCCGACTCGATGGAGTTCGGTTATGCCACGGACTATGTGCAGACGTCGGAGCCGAACGCTGAAAACGCGTTACCATCCCCCATCCTCTCACACTTCCCACATCTACCCCATGAGGAATGCATGCTCACGACTTCAGAGCAGTTGTGTCTCAAAATGTCGCTCCCACTGGCAGAGCAGCGGCAACAAGGAACCCCCGAGCCCGTGCAGGGGGCCAGGCGGCCATTGTTGCTGTTGGCTCCTCGCTCAGACATGCACCAGGCCCGAAAGCCGCATCGCCCGGAGTCTGCAGCCGAGCACTAGGCCTCAGGCCGGGGAGAACACAAACCTTCCGAGGTTCGGCTCTGGGAATGCCAAGGCCGGACGCTGCACTACCCACCTCCGACCCTGGGTCTCCCATTTCTCCGACGGCCTAACTGACAGCACCGCCGCTCCTGCTGTCCCTACCAGCGCCGCCGCTGCTGTCCCTGCAGCCACCACCACCGCCGCCACGACTTCCCTTCCCGCCCAGCACAGCCTTGCGCTGCCGCGCCCCGCCCTCTGTGAGCGCCGACGTCGCCGACGCCGCAGGCGAAGACGCCAAAGCGCTCTAAAAGAAGCAGCCGCCCGCACCGGCCCCGTATTCCGGAGCTTCTTTCGCTCACTCCGGGCCTGGGAAGTTCAGATAGCCTCCCAGCCTACCGCTGGCGTCAGTGGAGAAGCGTGGAAAAGGATTCCGAGCTACAGCGCATGCGTCCCGCTAGGCTGTTACCCTAATAAAATCGAATAATAGCTGAACTCTTTTTCTTCTATATTTTTTACACCTTTTTATTTTTGTTTTTTAGAGCCAAACTCTGGTCTGTGTAATAGATCAATGATGTTAAAATGCTTTCGTGGTTTGATACAGATACAGTATTGCCTCACCAAAACAATGACCCATCTTTTTATTTTCAATATTACATCAGATTGTAAACAGATGAAATTTATGAAAACAAATTTTAACTGAGAAATTTCTTTTAAAGTATTTTTTTTCCTAGCCCCAACAGCTTTAGACCACCTGTGGTATGATAAATCTGTAGTCCAACAACATCAGCTTTATAAACTCTACCAAACAACAGAGGAACCATGAGGAATGGTAAGGGTAAATACAAATTTACAATAAGAGGCTTAATTCTACTTGCTGAAAATAAGCATTTACTTTAGAAAACTTGTACATTCCTTCTCCGTCTTTTTGAAAACTGTGTAAATCAAGGATGTTTCCTCAAGGTCCTGGACCCATCTCTCTTGAAATGTAATCATCAGGTAAATCCACTGCTACCAGTTTCCTGGAAGTAGATTAACACAGCTTCAAATGGTTCTGGGCTCCAAATTACAAACCTATCTCTGGCTAGAAAGGTACTAGAAAATTAGCAATTTTATCTTGAAAACATGAATGTAATGGGAGGTACCCACTTAGCTATATAATTTCTATCTTTGGGATCTCTTTAATGAATTGCCTGTGATGCATAGTATTCTGGTTTAATGCTTCATTCAATAATGACACTGTTTTCTTTCTCTTCTATCTTTGTGGAGGGGTTTTCTGGGTTGGGAGCAGATGTTGTTTTTAATTATTTTTTCCCAACAGCAGCTACCAAACTGTTGGGGGAGTTGTTTGCCTCTACACCTCCCATCCAGGCTGCCTAAGTAAAGGCCTTGGGCCCAGAATATTCTCTGATAATGAGGCTGGGAATTGGGTCACCTTCTCTCTCCCACTTCCTTCTCCTTATCAGAGAAGCCTTCCCCTTGTTCTGGGTACACAGTAACTTTCTCTGTCTTTGGCACATGCATGGGCACCATATGGCACCTGGCCAACCCCACTTCTTTATCTGTTCCCGTCGGGGAGGGAATGGATTCTTTCGTGCTATGGTACAAGAGGAGGAATGTGCCCGACTGTTAAGAGCTGGCTTTGAGGTGTGGACTGCAGGAGAGGCCGAACATTAGCGCCCTCATGTGGTCCACTAGTGGTTCACACCATTTGCTGAGTCATTCTTATGTAAGCCCCTGGCTTGCAGCTACTTTTGTCCACCACCACTATAAAACCTCTGCCCTCCCACTGTGGAGTGCCGATATGGTCCTGCAGCCAGTCCAAGGCTTGCCTCAATATGTAAATCTTCCTAATAAACTTTGTCACCACACTTGAGTTGCCCACCTCTTTCTTTGGTCTCTTGGCACCCTCCACTTTTGGATGCAAGTTTTACATTATTGGCCCATGCCTGAACAAGAACAAAGGAAAAGATAGTTATTATAAGATTTTAAGGAAGGGTAGAAATTTAAATGAAGCAGTGTTTTGATAGGTTCAAAGCAAAGCAGGGCTGTGTGTAAAGGGCTCAACATCAGGTTTGAACAGCAAAATGGACCTAGGCTCCTATTACCTTAGAAATTACATAGTTAGGATACATATGGAATGTTGTGCCCAGAAACTCCTTGTCTGTAGCCATTTGGATATTGAGGCTGATTCTCTAGTTCAAAGTAACTTAGATCCTCCCAAGTAATAGAGGGATATTTCATTCTTACTGTTATATTTTCAGTTTCTGATGGTCTATTATTTTAGAGATGAAATTTTCTCATGAGTAAGAAAGCAGTACTCATCCAAAGTAACCTTGACTCTTTACAAATGCAGAATGTCTTTGGGAGAAATACTGTTTCTTGTTAATTTTGCAGCTAGCTTTTATCTATTTTTGTTGAGCCTGATAAATAGCCTGGCAGATATTTACTTTCTCAGTCTAATGCCTTTTTTTGCCAGTCAAATACAAGTTTTCCATATATGTGTGAATCTATTTCTGAACTTTCTGTTATAGTCTATTGATGAATTTATTCATCTTGCCACCAATACCACATTATCTTGTAGCTTTAAAGTCTTGAAATCAGGTAGTGTTAGTCTTCCAATTTTGTCTTCTTTTTCAAGTTTTTTGGTTAATCTAGATCTTTTGCATTTACATATGAATTTTAGAGACATCTTGTCAATTTCTACAAAAAGAAATCCTGCTGGGATTTTGATTGAGATTTCATTGAATCTATAGATAATTTGGGGAGAACTAACAGCTTAATAAATTTGAGTCTTACACTCCATGAAAATGGTATATCTCTCCACTTACGTAAGTCTTTTTAAATTTCTCTCAGCAATGTTTTGTTTTCAGAGTACAGATATGGATGTTCTCACCAATTCAGGAATCCCCAAAGAGAGCCTACTCATTTCATTAGATTTTTCAGTAAATATTTCACATTTTTAATGATATTATAGATGGTATAATTTTTAAAATTTGCATTTCTGGTTTTCACTGTAACAAAACACCCTGCCCCATTATTTTTGGCAAAATAGGTTGACATAAAATCTACAGAACTAAAGACTTTTAAAAGTTGCTAAAAACAGTTATTGGGCAGAAAATGCAAGGAGAATATCAAGGTGTTTTCGTGAGTGGTAGATCTCAGCATCAGCAAATGTGTACTTCCTTAAAAGGAGGAATTCAACCTAGAAATATAAAATCTAAATCTCATTGTAATGGATTGAATTGTGTCCCCCAAAAATATGTGTCAACTTGGTTACACCATGATTTCCAGTATTGTGTGGTTGTCCTCCATTTCGTGCTTGATGTAATTTTCCTATGTGTTGTAAATCCTAATCTCTGCCTATGGTTAATGAGGCAAGATTAGATTATGTTAAAGAGGATTAGGGTGGGATGTAACACCATTACCTAGGTCACATCACTGATCCAGTGTAAAGGGAGTTTCCCTGGGGTGTGGCCTGCACCACCTTTTATCTCTTAAGAGATAAAAGGAAAGAGAAGGGAGCAGAGAGTGGGGGACCTCATACCACCAAAAAATCAGCACTAGGAGCAAAGCACGTCCTTTGGACCCGGGGTTCCTGCACAAAGAGGCTCCTGGACCAGGGGAAGATTGATGTCAGGGACCTTCCTCCAGAGGCAACAGAGAGAGGGCCTTCCTCTGGAGCTGGTGCCCTGAGTTCAGACTTCTAGCCTACTAGACTGTGAAACAATAAACTTCTGTTTGTTGAAGCCATCCACTTGTGGTATTTCTGTTATAGCAGCACTAGATGACTAAGACACCCATACATCTAACAGCCCTGGGTGAGAGCAGGGTTGAACCAAGCAGAGCCATAAAGTTGGGATACAGAGAGACAAGGCACAGAGAGTATCCAGAGGATACTTAGCAACAGATCCCAGAAAGGTTCACAAAAACACACTCCTTAAAGGTGAAAGTCTTATCTGGAATTGCAAATGCTCTGTCCTTTACATGCAGCTGCTGGTGAAGAGCCAGGGGAGTGCAGGACTGGTAACAGAAATCCTTCCAGATTCAGCTTGAGTCAGAGAACAGAGGAAACAAGGCTACACACACACAAACCCCCAGAGGAGCCATACTGGCCAGAATCAGTGGTCTCTATGATTGCAAAGAGAGAGCCTTTGAAAGGTGTGAAACCTGGAAGGGATCCCTTGCCCCTCCTGCCATCCAAGAACCCTCTTGCAAGCAGCTGTTACTGGAAAACCATGTCATTAAAAACTGAGTGTTCAAGAAAGGCTATGGCACAGTATCAATACAAAGATTTTATTAGAAAAAAATGTGAAAAAGAGTTGAAAAATTGACGAATGAAAAGCATGCACAAGAAAAATGTTGCCAGGAAATGAAAGTTTTGACCATACATCACAGAATAAAAATCTTAGTGAAACCATCACCTCCATACAGGAAAACCACAGACCACACAAGCGGGGACTTACGCACTAGTATGTTTTTTTCTTTGTGCTTTTGCTACACTTATATTAAACTTAGAAAGCCCTTCCCATTCAGAGAATATAAAAATATTGATTTTTTTTCTCATATAGTTTGATTTTTTTATGTTTTATTAATCTGGAATCCTAACATAGTCTGTAGTAGAACCATAACTTAATTTTTTTCCATTCACTAATCGTCTCACTATCATTTAGTGAATAAATCTTCCTTTCCCTACTTATTAAAAGCTTTACTTTAATCATATTCGATTCTTATATGTGTATGGATAGAAATATATGTATACATATACCTATACATGTATATCAGTTTCTTTCTGTGCAATTGTGACACTATAAACAGGGCAAGGTGGGCAAACCTCATCGTTATCACTAACTGGGTGGCAAGGATAAGCATGAATCCAATCCCCATCTAGAAATGGATCCAGACTTCACCTTCCCACATCTCCACTCCTTGTTGCCAGCCACTTCTGTGGCACTTCCTCTCTGACCCTAACCACCCAGAACTAAGTCAAACTTCATCCCTAGCCACCTGGGGCCAGGTCATCAGGTACCAGCTATAGGCTCAGGAGTCTGCACAACTCCCTGCACTTCAGACAACTGGCCTCTGTCTCTTTCTTTCTCTCTCTTTTGCTCTTGTTCTACCTCTCTCTCATCTCCTGGGACTAAATCTCAAGCTAGAAATAATATATCTTTCTCCATTGACTGTCTGTGTAGCCTTTCTCTGAATAAGCCACTCCAAACTAAGTCAGAGTCT